GCGGGCTGTACTTGTCCACCTGGCGGCCCTTTGCGGGACAAGCGAGGTACCTTCGCTCCTTCCTTCCCTCTCCCCCAAGTCCCAACACCTTTTGGTTGCTCCTTCTCCCTTCTGTTCGCGCCTGCTCGCACTGCACCTGCGGCCTGAGGATGACGAAGCCAACTGCCTCTTCTGGAAGAGAGGAGCCTTGGGGATGTGCTGATGACGGCAGCGGTGAGTTGCAGCCCTGGTCGAGGAAGAAAGAGGAGAGGAACTACTGATTGGAGGTACGAGTCTGTTTACGACGACAGCAATATCGATTCTGTGCAAAATTCCTCTACTGATTTTCGTGGAGCATCGAGTGTGTTTTTGCACAACTGGGCGTTGTGTTTGTTGCACCAAGTAACCTGTACTGGCAAACTGAATGGATGGATGGATGGATGGATGGAAGCTGGTCGATGACTCTACAACGCGGATGGGAATATCGGGACACTTGTCGAAGCCGATGGATGGACGGCCAATGAATTCTGAAAAAGCGGGCCAAGTGTCTGGTACTTTCAAGAAGAGGCAGTGCAGCGGGTGCATCGCTGGCCTTCCCGGCAACGAGCCTGTACTCGCAACTTCGGGTGATTGGACGGTGCCGTTGGGTCCGACACAGCCTCAACTGGCGCTCGATAGCGCAAGAGTGTCAATCTGGTTGGAGAAAGGAGCCGATGAAACTCGATTGCACTCGTGCGACCAAAGTCCCCACGAAGCGCTTCCAAACCCGGGGAGTATTAGACCTGATACTGCCCCGTAAGCTCCAATGCTATGTTGTGCGTCTTCCTGTTATCGACACCGCCTGCAATATGAAATTTGACTGCGTTGACCTGCAGACGGAAAAGAATACATGGAGGTACTTTATGTACAACTGAACAACTGGATTCAGCATCAATGCACTGCCTCGCGCAACAATTTGGCCACCGTGTCCCAGTGAGAGTCTCCTGGCAAAGTGGCCCCAGCTTTGGCCATCAGCCCAACACTGCTGGAGATCTCACCTCTCCTCCTTCTTTGCAGTTCTAACTATTTCCTGATTCACCACTGCAGATGGGACTGAGAGTCTGAGAGGCAAGTTGAGACGAACGAACGGGGGCTCGGGGGCGAAGAAACTGAGGAACAAAGCTTGAGCTGCAGATCGGCACTGCAATAGCCCATGGCGGCCAGGGCTCCGCAGGGCATCTGCTGGGAGCTTGGAGGCGCAGTTCTAGCGAGGTGATTGGATTCCCGGTCCCGTCGGATCGGTGTCGGTGGTCGGCCCAAAGCCGTTGATGAGCCGACTTTGGCAAGGGGCCCAGTGGACCATTCAGGAAGCTAGGCCAGCGCTCAAGCCAGAAGCGAGTGGGGCAAGAGCTCTGAGCGGGGCGGCGCATCGGCACTTAAAAAGGACCGGTGGGGTCCAGGCCCTCGCGCTTCTCTTGACTGGTTGAAATGCGTGCAAAAATAGAAAGCTACGAACCTTGTGAGGCTTGTTTCATCATCGTCTCTCATTCGAGCCACTCGGTTTAGCTCCTCCAGCACCATCCTAATCCACCATGGAACCAGGCACAGTTTCCATGCTTCGATTGCTGTGGATTTTCGACGTTCGACTGAGGCCTCCTGAGTTCCACAGTCCCACAGTCCCACAGTCCCACTCTCCTCAAGTCTCACGACACCAGTCCACCACGGCGTTGACGAGACCACCTCACCACCTTACGCTTAATCTTCGGCGGTGACAACCGTAACCTTCAGAGCTGATGAAGCACCAATCAGGTCACTTGCTCGCAAGCTGTCTCTTTGCTGACTTACGTCAAGCATTGAAACAAGCCACCATGGGATGGTATGTAGTTTCATGCTATTACTGCTTGGCTTAGAGGCAAGTCGACTGTTTCGAGCAATCCTTGCAGGCATGAATATCGAATGTCCCCAGGGCAGTTTACAGACCGCAATTGCTTCACTGCCCACCTAGCCTAGCTGAACAAAGCGTCCAAGACAAATTGCCGAACCATTGTTGACGACGACGATGCAACCTCTCTGCGCCTCTCTTCATGAGCTAAGCATCTCGGAATAGCATCAAATAAAACATCTGTAAACGTCACGTGCAGCACCACAACACTGCAAGAGCAGAAGTTGCATCCTTCACCCTTTTGGCTGCACCACCGTGTGGCTGTGTCTTTTAATTTGCTGCCACAGTTCGCCTCCCACAGCACTACATTACCTTATGAGCTAATCCATCCTCCAGCAATCCATCCAGTCAAGGTTCAAGATGAGCTTGGCAACCAGCTCCAGGCTTGGGGGATACGATCTTTTCATTTCCTGATCGACCGGTCAGCCTTGCCTGCGCCTCCCTTGAACGGCGACTAGTAGTTGGTTCCCGACGGCAGATCTGCTCATCATATCAAACCCAGCACTAAGACCATCATGAATGGTCCATCACTCAATATCCATATTTCTGAGCCTTAGACATGCATCCGCGGCTTGCATGAAGCCCCGAGATCCCCCTTTTATGTATTTTCCTTCTCCCTTAGCTTTATTTTCAGCACACATTTGATGTAGCCTCTTCATTCCACAGCGCCGTCAGAAGACCATAGGGGCAAGGAATAAAATGCTATAATGCTCGCATATAGTGTATACGTGTGCCCTTGGTCATTAGTCTAATGCCCGTTTGCGTTCCCTGTACTATATACCCAAAGGGCCCACTCGTCCATAGATTTTGAATTGTGTTATATCATTCATGCTATTCTAAAAACTACCACCAGTACATGACTATCAATCTCGCAGTCTGCCTCGGTTAGCATCAGAGCTATTTTGCTTCCTTTACTCCAATGACTTGCCTTACACCACTCTACCTTTGGCACTGCCGCTCCGCTCTTATTTGGCTATCAGAGTTGCTGTAATCAGTTCGTAGCGCAAAATTCTTGTACCATGTGCTTTCTAAGCCTTCCCGTTTGCCCGTTCTAAGACATAAGTCTATGCTGTGGAGCTTCCTCCTCCTTTCTCAGAATATCTTCCTCACCCTCGCAAAAGTGCACAACATGACCAGTGTCATCGCCCTCCTCGTGTCTCTCATCTGGCCTGACGCCGTTGACTGGGACTGCAGAAGGGGCAGTTGCGCTGTGCCGGCGGGTTAGATAGAAGCGGCGGCATGGCTACAGCAGACAATATGGCCGCGTTGTCATCATTTCTATCGGGAGTGGTATTATTACCATCAGCGGAGCCAGCGGGAGCGCCAGAGACAGAGTGGATCTCGTTGTCAGAGCCCGAGCCAAAACCATCGCCGCCGCCGCCGTTAGGAGTATCACCCGTATCAGAGCTGGTTGATGCTGCAATTTCCATGCTCACACTATTTGAACCTTGGCTATCGGGCGTTCTTTGCGCATTATGCTCTGGTGCAGCTACGTTTGACTTCCACCGGTTCCGGACGTAGCCAGTATCCTGCGGTTTAATCGCTTGCTCATGTCTCAGTCCAGAGAGTATCATTCTGCCATAACGCCTTTCCGAGGTGATTGTGAGCGGGCTTTCAACTTGACAGGAATGATGGTGAGGGAAGTCTGGCGAATATTTGCCGGCGCGGTCGATGGCGGACAAAAGATCGTCAGGGATGTGATGGTTCTGGCTCCTTCTTGGATTTGCGTGAAGATTCCGGCCCTCAAAGTGATGCTGTCGCTGCGGCTGCTACTGTGGCTGCTGCTGTAGCTGCTGCTGTGACATCAATCGCTGCATTCTTTGTCGGAATTGCCACGGCTCTGGTTGCTGCTGCCCCTGCTGTCGCCGTGCTATTTCCCTCACTTGATGTCGAATATCTTGCTCTTGGCCTCGCCACCGCCGCTCCGGCTCTGTCGGTTGCAATTGTTCCCCATTGCCCCGACCCAGCTCAGACTGCGGCTGCAGCTGTTGATGCTGTCCTGAGGGCGCCTGCTGCTGATGTCACTGACCTACAAGTTGCTGGGAAGTGATGTGCTGTTGTGGCTGCTGTGGTGCTTGTCGTCGTCGCTGCTGCTGTCGCTGCTGTGGCTGTGGTTCATGCCGATTCTGCGGCGGTTGCGGCGGTTGCGGCGGTTGCAGTTGTTACTTAGTAGTTCTCTATTTTGTTTGATTTATACGTTCAATGATGAAAGGAGCAGGGGTAGAAAGACCCTCGTGACTAAGGATAGTATATGTGTACCCGTCCATTTTTACTCGAACCCGGGTGCAATTACTACCACGTAGAAACAGGCGCGGCTATCCTCTATAAACGCGGTTAGATGATGTTTGCTTGCGCGAGTACGACATCAGAATATCCCGTACCTTCAAGGATAATAATCAATTTCAACGCCCTCGTCTGCTGTCGTCAAAGGCAAAGAACAATAATGGTATTGCGGCTAAGTGTGTTAAACAGTCATGCGCTTCATACATTGAAGAGGAGAGAAGGGAACAGGCCAGGACACCGCTGTTCATCATGTATTTATACTCATTATTCTCCCGTACTCAAGCTCAAGGTTTGTTGCTTCATGAAAGTTTTGTGCGCACGTCTGACTGACTTTTTTTTTCCCTTGAATCTATAGTTTGAAAGTATATTTGGAAAACTTAGAGTGCTATAATAGGTGCAACAGGTTTCTCAAAGTGAAATAATGCCGTTGAGGCGGACCAGACGTGAGTCGTCGACTGCCATGCTTCTCACTGCATTTATTTAGTCCCATACCGCCGTGTCAGCAACTTACAGGTGCATTTTTAGTCTTTTTACTTCAGTGACTTTGCACGTTATCGCTCAAATGATTAAAAGACAGTTCCAGTTGTCTGTGAATCCTATGCTAGGGGTCAGTTAAAAAAGAACGATTAAGCTATAGAAAAACAACGATCAGCAGACAACGACACCAAAATAACCGAGCCCAAATTAAACAGAATTTAGAGCTAGTTTTTCGTTGCTGATGACGGCAAAAATACCAGTTGGACGAACGAGCGCCTCAATTGGTGAACGACCCTGTAATTAAAAGCCCAAAGGAGAAAAGAGCAAAAAATGTATGAAATAGTCCAGGCGAGGATTGAACTCGCGACCGTCGCATACCAATAGCCTTTTGTAAGAGGTATAAGAGCGAAATCCTAACCGCTAGACCACAGGACTATCCATTGTTATTGGATGGTTTCTAAAAGCTGTCTCAAATCTAGTCAGCAAGGCGCTTGGTTGGTGCGTCTCCATTTGTGTTACGTAAACCTTGTCCACCTTTGGAAAAGGAGAAAATGCCAACCACCTATTGTATTACTTGACAACTGGGTCTGTTTAACAAGCACAGCGCTTAAAACATGCCTGTAGAGTTTTCTTTTGGGCTCTCAATACCTGGAAAGCATCCTTTTCAGCATCCTACATTGTAATGGACCTCTTTGTGCATGGACCCATAATAAAGCACGGTGGCTCTTTCTTTCACAAGTTTACTGTTTGTCTTCGCTTGTCGCAAGACAAATCTTGTCATATTATTTGAAGTTTTAGCATGAATCAATAGAGGGTTCTCATCATTCATTAATAAGCTAGTGAGATATTTTGTGGTCTTTGTTTGTCTACCACAGTACCGAAGCTAAGATGTACATTCCAAAGTCGAAAATGAGACCCATGAGAATGAAGTTAACAGTACCTTACTTGCTTATTGTTAGGTATAAGACTGGTATTTAGTAGTACCATGCAAACGTGTCAGTAGCCTGTTGCAAAATATATCTCCATTTTAGAGCAAGTCCTGACGGAATACTTATGTCTCAGAAGTCGGTGAGCCTGGCCTATATTAACTAAGGAATACGCAGAATTGTTCACTTCGAAAGCCCAAAAACATTCATTAATACCCTAGTCAAGAAAGAGAAATAAACAAGGTTGAGAGGCTTTGAAGTTGCCCATACAATGCATTTTAGTCATCTCAGTTTCAGGCTCAGAACGACACACAGGCAACGACAATCTTAGTATGCTATAAGAAAGACAAGATTAAATCATGTAGGCCTGCCTAAATAACACTATAACCCCACTCATCAACAAGATTTACCTTCCAGCTGGCGTGCACATGCCCCCGCAACATTTAGCAAGTGAAGTTTGGATGGATTCACCGGGTGCACAGGCATCTATACCTTGGATGACCAGCTCGGACTCGTCATGCTTGTTTTTACTTCACTAAAAAGTGGTTGGTGCTGAGCGTATTGAAGTTCTAATCATATTCAGGTCACACGTGAAGAATATGCAAATATGTTACCTGGGATATTTTATTGTTGCAAGGAAAAGATCTTCCTCCGAAGCTGGCTGGCTGAAATCAAGAACCACGACGGGTCAGGGGACCGGATGAAAATGGGATGACACAACGCCGCACTCAACGCAGAGTTTTCCTACAAGGCTACATACAGGCTGACCGCCAGCAGGTATTCATCTGAACATCTTATGGCTTATCACAGTCACGTAGGTGCTTATCACAGTCACGTAGGTAGTATCCACACGCGTGAAGTGCCTGCTCCCCACCCAAACTCCCCAAGTCCAGAGCGCACTAACCCGTTCCCCAACTGTGTATAAAATCTTTGAGAAAATAAACAAAGACCAGTCTTCTCCTTGAACCTCACCGCCCTCATGCATCGTGGTTGGCGCCCGATCAACGGCCCACAAGCCAAGCAGAGTCGCGTACCATCCTCGAAAGACCAAGTCTACCCAGGTACCGACAGCCAGACGGCTGGCAAGAAGATGGAGGGTGATTGGAAGTGCGACTGCGGAGGCTGCACCTGGATAGGCGACCGGTCTGGACTTCAGGAGCACGTGAGCACAGCCCACGACTTCGATACCGGGTCTGATCGATCATAGTACGTTTCTCCTTTCCAAGTCAACAAAACCATCCCCTGGTCATCAAAACATTGCTTCATTCTTGAGACCGACGCAGTATCACAAACACACTGCTGACATGAAGGAAAATAGTGAACCACGACACGAGACAGGCAAGCCCGAGCTATCTCAATCTCATTCACTTACTTCGGGTTCTCTCATCATTTCAGGCACATCTGATTCAGGTGGAAGGTCGACCAAGCCACCTCCTGCATCCAGAGACAAAGAAAACAATCCGCAGCACAGTAAACAGGCTCCTGACCCATTGAGTGGCCTGCCCGATGTCGTAGCTGGCGGTGCCGGGACCGGACAGATGAGCGAGCTTTCCAGTGCTTATCACGCTAGCCGTGGCCCATGGCACAATCAAGCATCGCGAGCAGGAACGGCACCACAAAAGTATGGAGGCCCTCAAGAGGTTCGGGGGCCTCCACATCGCCAGCCAGCTTACCCAGCGTCCGCCACTCATCCGCCACCAGAATCCGCCTCACTGCCCTACCCGACACCCTACGAGATAGAGCGGCGACATTGGGCAGAGAGAGATATCTACGAGGCTCTTGTACGAACAAACTCCTGGGACTCTCGGCCTGAAATCAAGATGTTGCTTGGTGATTTGGGCACCCTGCCAGGCCATGTGAGCTATCTCATCGACTGCGGATATGGCGCGCTCCTGGAACGTGCCGAGAATTATTATGACGCTATGATGGCGCGTCCTGTTGTCGCCCGGTCTGCCCCTGAGATACCGCCCGTCATTGTAGCAACGGCGCCGCCCTTGCTTGGCCGTCATTCAAGCCATATCGTGGACTCCAATGCCAACAAGTCTAATGAAAACGACAACAGAGTCTTGGCTGAACCATCCGGCAACGTCTCGTACAATGTTGGCGACGCCCGCGAGGAAATTTCGCTCACAAAGGCAGGAAAACGGCGACGCAGCAGTCCTGGTGTACTGTCGCCGTCGCGTCCCTCCCACAACAGCATCGGCAAGGAAAACAAGCGTCCTCGTGACGACAGTCCTGTCGATGTTCATAGCGCCATCAGAGATGGTCGTCGCGCCGTCAGCAACTTCACTCAAGCAGCCTTTGGGGACCAGCCCAAGACAGCGGCAGCGGCAGCGGCGACTCTTCCTTCCGTCAGTCATTTTTCACAGCCACGCCCTCGTGCCAACCGCACTGCTTTGCCTTCATCACGGCCACCTGTCACAGCGCAGCAGTCAGCCAGCGGTAATAAAGGTAGCAGTCGCACTGCCTTGCTTTCTTCGCGAACACCTAGCCAGTTGCGAACAGTTGCTCGCGCCACCTCGCTTTCTTCACGACTGAGCATCTCGGTTGAGCAGCCAAACAGTGATAATACAGGCAGCGACCGTACAACTTTGCCTTCTTCAGGACCGCCCCCCTCGGTTCAGGAACAGACCAGCGATGACAAAAGTATCGATACCAATGCTTCGACTCCATCACTTGGCGCTCGTACCGCGTTGCCTTCATCACGACCAGCTGAATCTGCTCAGCCTTCGTCACGACCACCTGCCACTGCACAGCAGTCAAACTGCGATGGAAACAATGGCAACCATACTGCCTTGCCTTCTTTGCTAGCACTCAGCCACTTGCGCCCGTTGGACACTGCTGACATGATTGCTCGCACTGAACGCTTTATGCGGAGCTACCCGGTGCAGCAGCAAACCAGTGGACATGCAGGCAGCGACCGTATTAGTACTGTGCTTTTTCCAGGACCGCCCTTCCTGGGACAGCAGCGGGCCTCTAACGCTGAGCAGAGTGGCCATGCTGTGTTGCCTTCTGCAGGACCGCCCGCTTTGACAAATCAGACAAACCACCTACATATTTATGGGAACACGAGCAACGCAAAGGATGACGGCGGCAAGTCTGCCGGTAACTCTGCCAACCAACAGAATGACATTGCTGCTGCTGCTGCTGCTGTTGCTGCTGATAATCATCCAGCCACTCAAAGCTCAGCTGGTGTCCACCACTCTGTTCCCGATCGAGGCCCTCCCGTGATCCAAATTCCAGCCCGTAACCAAGCTCCCGACACTGCTCACAACAATCCCGCTGCTCCCATCAACAACGGTACCCTCCCCGCCATCCAAGGCCCAGCTGCCCAACGCCCTGCCGCTGTCCACGATAGCCCACCTACCCCCTACTACGCAGTCGCAGAGGACCCGGACAAGGACAAGGGCAAGAAGGTAATCGAGCACGCCGTACGCGACATGGTCCAAGACAAGACGCACGTTGTCCAGATACCCAACAAGCAGAGGCAGAACAGAGGCGAAGACTGCTTTGTCTGTCGCGAAGTCCGCGGACACAAGTCCACCGAGACCTTTGTCAAGTACCACAGGACTGTCGAGCGCGGATGGATGTGCCACAAGTGCGGCGCCTGGTTCTCCCACGAGGGCGGGTACGTGCGCCATCGGAAACACGCGCGCCGCTGCCCGTGGGCGCCGGGCGAGAAGGAGGCGTATGAAGAAGCAAAGAAGGGACAGGCAGAGGATGAGTGAGTCTGCGGCTTCTACCGGCTCTGCTGTTTGTCGTTTTTATTGGTCTTTCTGGGGTTGTACCGAGGGCGTTGTGACGCTGTTGGGTATAACTAACTGTGAGTACCGAACATCTGCATATCATGGTCAACCACGAATACCTGAAGGACTCATGAGAAAGAGAGGGAAGATGAGTCTGTTTCAGGAGATAAAAAAAAGAGAAGAATATGTGAAGATCAAAAGGAAAAAAGGCACCAGCAAGGTCACAGTGGATCGAATAATGTAAGAAATAGGAAAAAACGAGGGGGAAATCACGACCAGATACAGCAGTAAAAAAGATAAAACCACCCCCCAAAAAAAATACGAATTTGTAAATTTATCGCCCTCTCTAACATTGTCGTGAATATTAACCACCATCTCTGTTCCTTCTCCTTCCACCTTGTTTGCTTCTCGCAATATGCATCTTGAGCGTCTTGCCCCTGTCGATCAAACTCTTCTTGTTCTTGGCCCTGGCCTTGCCGACCGTCATGAGGAAGTTCTTCTTGCGCGCCTTCTCCTTGTTGGTCGTGCTCTTGCCCTCGGCCTCCTTCTTGGACCGCTTGATGGCCTGCGTCGACTTGTGCTCGTCGCGGCCCGGCTTGCCGTCCTTGGCCAGCGCCACACGCTCCTCCTTGGTCGACTTCTTGCCCAACATGGCCGGCAGCTCGATATCGTCGGCCGTCACGCCCTCGTCGATATGTCTGAGGATCAGCTCCTTCTTGCGCTTGGATACGCGGCTGGGGTTCAGCACCCTGTCTACCTGGGC